AAAAAAAAAAAAAAAAAAAAAAAATTATTAACATGATTACCTTTAGGTCTGCTGCTTTACTTTTTTCTCTATATATATTTAATTTCTCTGTCTAGCCATTCCTTTTGTAATTCTGATTATTTCAATTTTTTTTCTATTTGTTTAAATTTACCTATTGGCTTTTGGGTTGTATCTCCTTGTGTAATTTATTTTAATGGGTGTTATAGGGATTACAATATACAATGTACATCACATTTCACCAGCTAGATAGAGTTGTTCCTTCTCAACAAATATATAAACCTTGTATTTTTATAGTTTTATGTCCACCTTACCCTTTATGTTATAGTTTCCATGTATATCACATCTATATATGTGGTAAACCTCACTAGGCATTATTATTAGTTTTGCTTTTAACAGTCATATTGAAGTTAAGGGGCAAAAAATGATTTTATGTATTTACATCATCTTTTGTGATGCTTTTCTTACATTCTGAAGATTCAGATTTCTCTTTGATATTACTTTCTTTGGTCCTAAACAACTTGTTAGCAGTTTTTGTATAGTAAGTCCGATGGCAACAAAGTATTTTAATCTGCTTTTATCCGTAAATGTAATGTATCTTACTTGGCATTAAATTAGCATCTTAATTCTACAAATTTATTTCTTTCATTAAATTTGAGATGTTTCCAGTTGCTATTTCCTGAGATATTTTTCCTCCTGAAATCTTTGTTTTTTTGGGTTTATAATTTCAATCATATCTTTTGATTTATTTCCACAGCTCTTTAAAATTTTTTAAACTATTTTTATCTCTCCATTTCAAGTTGAATAGTTTCCATTGGTCAGTCAAGTTTACTGACTCTTAGTGATTATATATTTCAGTTGTATAATTTACATTTTGATCATTTTCTGTCTGCCCTCTCATGGTTATATATCCTATGTTGTCTGTCATTTCCAGTGTGTTTTTCTAAGCTTTGTCTTAATATTCTGATGTTGCAATAATATTAGCTAGCATGGCAGGCATCAGCCATTGAGCCTGGCTCCAAACTTTTATATGCTACTATTTTTGTTGTTTTGTTTACTCACAACTCTAAGTCTTTAAAGATCTCCTTTCATTGTCTCATAATATTTCCAGGCTCATGTTACCTGTTCCCTTCCTGAATTGTTTCTTTCTCTGGAGTATCTTATGTGCATATTTTTAAAAATTTAGATATTGAGTAATTGCAAGATAGGTGGTAAAATGTGCTCATTATGTTGTATTTGACCGAGTGTAGAAAGTTATCACAAGACAAAAGTATGCCAGATTGCAGGGTCATTTATTTATGCCGGCAACCACAGAGGACTCACGTCTCTCCAACCTGTGGTGGCAACAGGAGGGTGCCACGATTTTTTATACCCGAAAAACCACCTTGGGAGTGGGGGTGAGGGGCGGGGATGGGGATGAAAAGGCTTCAGACATTCYVAGGGCTAGTGGATTCTGTAAATTACCTCCTGGGCAGAGATGAGGGTGGGGGTCTCCGGACATTCCAAGGGATGGGGACTTTTGTCATTCCGTTTGTTACTTAAGTGGTTTACAGAAGTCAAGATAAACATTTGTTTACACATTATCTGGTTAAGGTGGAAATCACAGACCTTAGTTACTTATTACAAGCTACAGGAGTCAGGATGGAACTAGCTTGGACTGCTTAGTCTGGCAATTGCCGGTAAGCAAAGGCTAGCAATTCTGGCAGTTACTGATAAGAAAAGGTAAGCAACTTTACATAGTTTTGAAGAACAAACAGCAGTTCTATTTACAGAGGCCAAGGACAGTAGTTATTTTAAGGAGAATGGGGCAGCCATTTCAACTTATCTAAAAACAGTTTTGCATTTCATAAAATAGTTTTGCTCTGGTTCTGGCTCTAGGCCAGCACAATATCACAATTATAACTGTCTTTTTAGCAGCTTTTTGTGTTTCATCCATGACAATTGGCTGTCTAGACTTTTTACTTTTAGGGTCACCTTTGAAGAATATTTCTGCAAAATTATTGTTTCTAATACTTTCAAAATGTGTATATATACTCTTATAATTTAAATAAAATCGCTGTTTCTTGTTTTCCCTTGTTTCTTATTTTTATTTTTTATTCTTTTTTGGTTGCTTTAGCTCATATTTTACCTGATGATTTTTGTAAACACCATGTCTTTGATTTAGGTGTTGATGCCATTCTGTTTTCTAATGCATCACAGTTTGCTTTTATCTTTATTTTTCTACTTTCCTGTACCTTGTTCTTAATTTCCTAAATGTTGGGTAGTGATCTTTAACTTATTTTCTTTCCTTTTCATTGAGATAAGTATTCAGTCTTTGAATACCCTGCCTGCCGATATTGAATGCCCATGATTATGATGTGTACCCGTTTTCTCCATCATGATTTGCTGGAATTCTTCCCTTTTACTGTTCTATTTCCATAACGATGCAGCATTTATTATGCTGAGGACATTTCTATTTCCACATGGAAGATCTTTTAGTTTCTGATATTATTAATTTGTATTGTTACTCCATTTTAGAGAGGGTTATTTATATTATTTCCACTTTTTGTGTACAAATCATGCCACAAGTCATGTCCGACTAATACAGCACTTTTTATGTTGCTGAACATATTCCTTTATATAGACTGTATTTTTTTTCTTTTTTTTTTTGGTGATGGAGTCTCACTCTGTCGCCCAGGCTGGAGTGCAGTGATGCAATCTCAGCTCACTGCAACCTCTGACTCCTGGGTTCAAGCAATTCTCCTGCCTCAGCCTCCCAAGTAGCCAGGGTTACAGGCACCTGCCACCATGCCCTGCTAATCTTTTTTTTTTTTTTTTTTGGTAGAGACAGGGTTTTACCATGTTGGCCAGGTGCTGGTCTTGAACTCCTGATCTCAGGTGATCCTCCGGCCTAGGCCTCCCACAGTGCTGGGATTACAGGCATGAGCCACCATGCCTAGCCTGCTTTATATAGAATGTAAACCATTATCCTCCATCCCACTTCTGCCAATATTTTTCATCTAGTTTTTGGCTCTCTTCTTTAATATAATTCAGGTCCTCTCTTTGCCCTAAGTTTGAGTTCTCAACATTTCATAATTCTGATGTACATACTTGGTATGTGTCTAAAAATTAATTAGCATACTCTTGTGGGCATTATCAGAATGAGTTAGCATTGGATAAAAAGGAAATCCATCTGCACATGTACCCCAGAACCTAAAGTGCAATATATATATATATATATATATATATATATATATATAAATGTATGTATAAAGGAAAACCAGAACAGACCCGACAAAGGTTATGATAGAAAATTAGATTGAATATCTGTAGGATCAGAGGTAATAAGAAAATGTCAGGGCAAGATAACTAAAAACTCAGTATTTTATTTAATGTGGAGAGAAAAGGAGTATACATGGTCATATATAGAAGGGAATAAACTATAGTTGTGGGAGTACCTATATTTCAGGGAAGATTGTAATTGAAGAATGATTCAGTATATATACTGCCTGTTTTCTTAGCATATGGTATAAATTTATATAGCAGGGGTGCGGTATAGCTGGTCAGTTCTGTAAATCTAGAACCAGTTATGCAAATGTTAATAAACTTGCATTAAATTGACAGCTTGAAATTGCCCTCAGTGGGAATATTTACACCAGAGATCTTGGCAAACACTACAAAACAGGGCTGAGTGTGTGTGTGTGTGTGTTTGCCTTTGTGTGTGTGTGTATGTTTGCCTTTGTATATGTGTGCATGTGTGTATAAGCTGCACTCCATTGCACAAACTCATTTTTTGAGCTCTCCTTTCATATTTTTGAGTTGTCAGCATCTGTAATAGGTGAGAATTCCTCTTAATTCTACAATACATTGATGTTTTCTCACCCAGTAAACAAAATGTTTATCTTTTATGTCTTCTAGATTTGGATTCAAGGTGTGAAATAATCAATGATAGGAAAATGGACATTTATAGGAAACACTCATCTGTTACTCTCCATCAGAGAATTCATAATGGACAGAAACCATATGAGTGTAAGGAATGTCAAAAGGCCTTTAGTCATCTTACAGAACTCATGGTACATCAAAGAATTCATACTAGTGAGGAACCTGAGCAGCGTGAAGAGTTTGGGAAAGCATTTAGCCATTTTACAGACCTTAGAGAACATCAGAAAATTCATGCTCGTGAGAAACTTTATGAATGTGAAGAATGTGGGAAGGTCTTCAGTTATCCTGCAAACCTTGCTCAACATGGGAAAGTTCATGTTGAGAAACCCTATGAATGTAAAGAGTGTGGGGAAGCTTTTAGGACTAGCCGTCAACTTACTGTCCATCATAGATTTCATTATGGTGAGAAACCCTACGAATGTAAGGAATGTGGCAAGGCCTTTAGTGTGTATGGACGACTTAGTCGACATCAGAGTATTCACACTGGTGAGAAGCCCTTTGAATGTAACAAATGTGGAAAGACCTTTAGGCTCAAAGCAGGCCTTAAAGTACATCAGAGTATTCATACTGGAGAGAAGCCGCATGAATGTAAGGAATGTGGGAAGTCCTTTCGTCAGTTTTCCCACCTTGTGGGTCATAAAAGAATTCATACTGGAGAAAAACCCTATGAATGCAAGGAATGCGGGAAGGGCTTTACATGTAGGTATCAACTTACCATGCATCAGAGAATTTATTCTGGGGAGAAACCTTATGAATGTAAAGAAAATGGGGAGGCTTTCAGTAGTAGCCATCAATTTACTGCACCTCATACATTTGAAAGTATTGAGAAACCTTTTAAGTGTGAGGAATGTGGGAAGGCCTTTAGTGTGCATGGACGACTTACTCGACATCAGGGTATTCATAGTGGTAAGAAACCCTTTGAATGTAACAAATGCGGGAAGTCCTTTAGGCTCAATTCATCCCTTAAAATACATCAGAATATTCATACCGGTGAGAAACCTTATGAATGTAAGGAATGTGGAAAGGCCTTCAGTCAGCGTGCACACCTTGCCCATCATAACAGAATTCACACTGGTTACAAACCCTTTGAGTGTAAAGAATGCGGGAAGTCCTTTCGTTGTGCCTCATATCTTGTTATACATGAGAGAATTCATACGGGAGAGAAACCCTATGTATGTCAAGAGTGTGGGAAGGGTTTTAGTTATAGTCATAAACTTACTATGCATCGCAGAGTTCATACTGGTGAGAAACCTTACGAATGTAAGGAATGTGGGAAGGCCTTTAGTGTATCTGGACAACTTACTCAGCATCTGAGTGTTCACAGTGGTAAGAAACCCTTTGAATGTAACCAATGTGGGAAGTCTTTTAGGTTCATTTCAGTACTTAAAGCCCATCAGAATGTTCATAGTGCTGAGAAACCCTACGAATGTAAGGAATGTGGCAAGGCTTTTCGTCATGCCACAAGCCTCATATATCATGACCGAACTCATGCTGGTGAAAAGTCCTATGAATGTAAAGAATGTGGGGAGACTTTTAGTCATGCCTCACATCTTATTATTCATGAGAGAATTCATACCGGTGATACACCTTATGAATGTAAAAGATGTGGGAAGGCATTTCGCTGTTCCTCTTATCTTGTCAGACATGAAAGGGTTCATGCTGATGGAAATCCCTACATGTGTGAAGAGTGTGGGAAAGCTTTTAATAGTAGCCATGAACTTAGTATACATCATAGAGTTCATACTGGTGAGAAGCCCTTTAAATGTAACAAATGCAGAAGGTCATTTAGGCTTAGATCCATCCTTGAAGTACATCAGAGAATTCATATTTGATAGAGAAATTTTGGCATATATACAGGTAGTAAAGAAAGCACTTTGTGTCAATGGATTTATCTCACTGAAGAACAATCTGAATGAAGACAATGCAGGATGACTTAAATACAGTTCAGTTTTTATTAGGCATCAATTTGTCCTGGTGTGAACTTTTCAAAATGTAAATAATGTATGCAGTTTCTTTGGCCTCACCTGTGTTAACTCAGATTCAGAGAATGTATAAAGTATTTTTTTTAATAACATAAGAAAACTTTTTCTGAAGTCCTCTAGTTGAGGATTGCCAAAATATTCATAGTAGAGGAAAGTTGAGAGAACATAGGAAACCATTGTTCTTTATACTTGTATGTAAACATTTTCCAGCAACAAACATTTATTGTTAAATCTGAGGAAAGCCATCACACAGGAAACCTCTGTCTATATAAGCAATGATGGGATAGGGTGTTTAGCCATTCTGCATATTTAATGTTCATTATTGACACCCGCTTCTTATAGCTGGAATGATATGGGGGAAGATATTTATCCCTTCTGGGGATCATATATGAATGGTGATAGTAGTACCTACAGTATAGTGCTGTTAGAATTACACAAGTTAGATTTGGAGGTCAGAGTGGAAGCAGGTGTGAGAGGGTCCCGCAGAAGGTAACATGGCTGCCAAAGTGTGTGAGTCCATCAGCAAGTCTGTCCTGGCCTTAGCTGTTGCAGGAGGCGTGGTCAACTCTGCCTTATATCACGTGGATGCTGGGCACAGAGCTGTCATCTTCAACCGATTCCCTGGAGTTCAGTCATTGTGGTAGGGGAAGGGACTCACTTTCTCATCCCATGGGTACAGAAACCAATTATCTTTGCCGTTCCCAGCCACGTAATGTGCCAGTCATCACTGGTAGCAACGATTTACAGAATGTCAACATCACACTGAGCATCCTCCTCCGGCCTGTCCTTGCATCTTCGCCAGCATTGGAGAGGACTATGATGAGCTGGTGCTGCTGTCCATTACCACTGAGATCTTCAAGTCAGTGGTAGCTCGCTTTGATGCTGGAGAGCTAATCACACAGAGAACTGGTCTCCAGGCACATGATCAACGCCTTATGGAGGGAGCAGCCACCTTTGGGCTCATTCTGGTGGACGTGTCCTTGACACATCTGACCTTTGGGAAGGAGTTCACAGAAGCAGTGGAAGCCAAACAGATGGCTCAGCAGGAAGCAGAGAGGGCCAGATTTGTGGTGGAAAAGGCTAAGTGGCAGAAAAAGGTGGCCATTATCTTGGCTGAGGGTGACTCCAAGGTAGCCAAGCTGATCACCAACTGACTGGCTTGAGGGGGATGGTCTGAGTGAGCTTCGCAAGCTGAAAGCTACGGACGGCACAGCATACCAGCTCTCAACGATCAGAACATCACCTACCTGCTGGCAGGGCAGTCCATGCTCCTCCCGCTGCCCTGGTGAGGGATCACCCTAAGGCAACTGGGCTACAGCCCTGACAATTCGTAACACCACCTTCCTTCTGCTCCCACCTCAGAAATCACTGTGAAATTTCATGATTGGCTTAAAGTGAAGGAAATAAAGGTAAAATCACTTCAGATCTCTAAAAAACAACAACAAAAAGAATTACGCGAGTTAGTACATGAAAAAATTATGGGAAACTATACGGGATATAATGTTCAATAAACATTAGCATCTATAAATAATACCATTTACTTGTGTTATTTTTAGTGTGTTTTGACCAGATGAAACTATTAACCATTCAGGTTTAATGAATTCAGAAAAGTTTTATGCTTTAAAAATTTGAATTCATTCTGGATAAACTTAGGATTTAATATAGGAATTACAGGTGTACACCATGTCCGGCTAATTTCTGTATTTTTAGCAGAGATGGGGTTTCACTCTGTTGGCCAGGCTGGTCCTGAACTCTTGACCTCAGGTGATCCACCCACCTTGGCCTCCCAAAGTGCTGGGATTACAGGTATGAGCCACCATGCCAAGCCTCTTTTCTTTTCCCTTTCCCTTTCCTTCCTTTTTTTGAGACGGAGTCTCATTCTTGTCACCTAGGCTGGCATGCAGTGATGCAATCTTGGCTCACTGCAACCTCCATTTCCCTGGTTCAAGTGATTCTTCTGCCTCAGCCTCCTGAGGGAGCTGTGATTACAGGTGTGCACCACCACATCTGGTTAATTTTTGTATTTTTAGTAGCACGGGGTTTCACCATGTTGGCCAGACAGGTCTTAAACTCCTGACCTCAGGTGATCTGCCTGCTTCAGCCTCCCAAAGTGGTGGGATTACAGGCATGAGCCATCGCATCTGGCCCTTTTCTTTGTTAAGACAGGGTCTAGCTCTGTGGCTCCGGCCACAGTGAAGTTGTGCCATCCTAACTCTTGGGCTCAAGTGATCCTCTGACCTCAGGCTCCCGAGCAGCTGGGATTATAGGTGTAGACCACCAGGCCCAGATAATTAAAAAAAGAAAAAAATGTCATATGCATGGAGTCTTGCTATGTTGCCCAGGCTGGTCTTAAACTTCTGGCCTCAAGCAATCCAGGTACCCCAGGCTCCCAAAGCACTGGATTATAGGCATGAGCCACTGCGCCCAGCCCCACTTTATTTTTCTTGACAAGACCTAAATATTCTGTTTTGTTTTTTTTTAAACACTACTTATGACAATGTTCTGAGAAGTAAAGCCCAGTGCCACTTTATTTCTCTTGATAAACCTATTCTTTTTTTTTTTTTAACACCACTTATGTCAATGTTCTGAGTAAATGTATAATAGTATAATTTCAGAGAGGCCTTTTTTTTTGAGACAGTCTCCCTCTGTCACCAGGCTGGAGTGCAGTGGTACAATCTGGGCTCACTGTAACCTCTGACTCCCTGGTTCAAGCGATTCTCCTGCCTTAGCCTCCTGAGTAGCTGGAATTACAGGCACACACCACCACACCCAGCTAATTTTTGTATTTTTAGTAGAGACATAGTTTCACCATGTTGGCCAGGATGGTCTTGATCTGACCTCGTGATCCGCCCGCCTCGGCCTCCCAAAGTGCTGGGATTACAGGCATCAGCTACCGTCCCCAGCCCCAGAGAGGTTTTTTAATAAAACAAATATGTAACTGATATCTTGTATTTTAAATCTAAGAGGGCATATGAAATTGAATGCATTCTGTGCAAGGAGAGTCAGAGTATTGATGAATTTGGACTTATAATTCCTGGAGTAATGACTAAAAGAACCTATAAACTATTAAAGAAAAAATTGGAATAGTAATACATCAATTCAACATAAAGGAGAGAAAAAGAAAACATGCAACAAAAGGAAAATGCCAGACGCTCACGCCTGTAATCTCAGCACATTAGGAGGCATAGGTGGGAGGATCACCTGAACCCAGGAGTTCAAGACCAGCCTGGGCAGCACAGGGAGACCCTGTTTTTTGTTTAGTTTTTTGTTTTTGGGTGGAGTCTTGCCCTGTAGCCCAGGGTAAAGTGCAGCGACTTGATCTCGGCTCACTGCAACCTCTGCTTCCCAGGTTCAAGTGATTCTCCTGCCTCAGCAATCCTACAATCTCATCATTTGGAAGTAATAGCAATCTTACCTCCTTTCCAATTTTTTCTTTCTTTCTTTTTACAATTATTTTACTTGCCTAACGCCACAGGCCCGAGGACACACGAGGGCCAGGTGCAGGTAATCAAAATCCCAACACTCAGTTTCATAGGGACCCACAAACCGTCTCCACGGAAAACCAGAACCAGAAGCGTTGCCCTATCAAAACCATTCCGGAAATAACAATGGACAGGAGCAGAGCCACAGTCACGGATTCGATCCCAGGGACGTCACAAACGCAGACATAAACCGCACAGACCCTAGAGACCCCCTACACTCAGCGTCAGAGTCGGGCACCACTGCCAGCTTTCTCTGCAGGACCATCCCAATCCCCCGCTAGAGAGCGGCACACGCGCACATAGCAGCCTTCTGCGCGGGAACACAACTCCGCCTGCGGCAACGCATTCGGTCCAGGTACGGGGAGACGCCACAGGGAGCACGCGCTGCGGTTTGGTCCGGGCTCGCGACACTGGGGTTCCCTCCATCCAGCTCACCGCCAGGAATCACGCCTACAGGCCTAGATTTGGACACTCCCATCTCCTTTGGGATCCTGTTGCCAACCTCCACCCACCTCCAAACCTCCCCACCCCCTTGGCAGGTGCGACCCTACACGTCTCCCTTGCTCCGTAAAGGGTCCCAGGGTTCGCCTTGGTCGACACGCGCGCCTGCGCACTCCGGACAGAAGCCGACTTTCAAAGGCTCGGGTAAGGCTACGCTGGGGAGCGCGGCGGGGCTTGCAGTCCAGAGAACCAGCAGAAAAAAGTCGGAATATCGGTTTTTAAAATTTTGGACCGCAGTGCCCACAGGGAAGCAGACCCGGATTATCTTTAATGGCACTGGTCAGTCACGGAGCCGCCTTAGAGGTATAGAGGCCTGAGGCACCGGACACTGTCGCCCTTCTGGGTACGTCTCCCCTGCCAGACTGTCCCCGCCGAGACCTGGCCCCAAGCGCCCCTCCCGGCCTCGGAGCAGCCGCGGGACTTGCTTCCGCCCTCCTCGCGCCTGCGCACTCGCGACGGGGACAGGCGCTTTCTCGTATCCTGGCGCCGCTGACTCTGGTGCTGGGCGATCCTTCTAGTCGGGTGAGGCTGAAGAGGTGGGCGCCGGGCGCCGAGCGCGGCTGTGGCCGCTGCTTTTCTGAGAAAAAAGAGCGCGGGTTGGGTCAGGCTTTGCAGGCCGGACCAGAGATGGAGAAAAGGTACCTGTGGAGCCTCAGGCCGCTGTGCGTTTTTTCGCGGGACTGAGCTTTTGCAACCCTGAGGCCTGGAGGCGCTGTGCCGGGCCCGGTTCGTGGGTGCGGCCTATGGTGTAACTGGAGACCGAGGCCCCGCGCATCCCCATCCGCGCTTCAGCCACTTAGGCTCCAGGATGAAGGTCTCCTGCAAAACGCTGCGACCTAGATTCGGGGCGGGTGTCTGGGGGCTGAGAGGACACGCCGACAGTTCCGAAAAGACATTGTGGGTGGTCCGGGGGCTCGAGCAACTGGGTGCCGAACTACAGCGTACCCGGAGCTGCGAACCCAGACGCTGGTGACTGCGGAGCCGCTGCCCTGTCGTTTCCATTTGTGCGTGCAGGTGGTGGTTAGCTGGGGCCAGGGAAGCATGGAGGGTGGGTTCTGATCGAGTCAAGAAAAGCCTGGGGTGTCCTGAACTTGGTCTGCTTCCCCAGCCCTGCCAGTTTCCAGAGAGGGCGCTTGAGAAGGAGAAACGAATCGCAGCTGCTCTTCTAAAAAGCCGGTTCCATGTGAGTTTGTGCTGCTGCTTTGTTCTGTGAAATGCGTTCAATTTCCTTCCGTTTAAAATTCTGCTTAAAAATGATCTGTTTGTTCATTGATTTAGGCCTTAGGATTTCCCTACCTAGTTAACGGCAGAGGACCTAATTAATAGATTTCCCCTTTTTAATGCCTACTTCATGCTGTTCTATAGTTAGACACATGGTTAGTTAACTGTAGGCTGTATATTCGATTACTCTGTCAGCGCTGTTTTTCTAAGGATTTTGATGGTATGGAAATACGCTTGCTGGAGATTAATGTTCATGCTTTGTTTTTAATTTATTCGTTAAGGAGGTTTTTTTTAGGGTTTAGATATGTTTAATGATTCCTGGGTAGGAGCGGAATTTTTTTTTCCAGGAAATTCATAAATAAAAGTTTTTGGTACCAGCCAGATGTGGTTTGAGGTTTGGCAACGTGAGTTTATTTTGGGTATATCTTTGAATCGACTGAGAGAGGCGTAGTGTAATGTAGTGGTTAAGAATTTCGAACCTAGATTAAGAGGAGGATTTGAATTCTGACTGCCACTTAAATCTGAACGAGTTTAAGCAGTCTGTGCTGCAGTTTCCTCAGAATTGTAATAGCGTATACTTCACGGTGTTGTTTTGAGGATCATATGAATCAATATTTGTGTGGATCTTAGGAGAGTGCCTGGCACATAGTGAGTCCTTAATTCATACTAGCTACCGGTATTAAAATGATGATGCGTAGCCAATCCCTATCAGCTTTCTGTATCCCCAAGAGCAATGCAGATGTGAAGGTAATTATGATGGGTGTTTGCAAGCAGGAAAATGAGCCAGACCCTCCAGTGGACCCCAGAACAGAGATTCTTAAATCCTCAGACTCTGTTTATGCGCTTTCAGGGCAACAAAGATATTTTAAGATTACATACAGAATTGTATGTATTTGTAAATGGTTAATTTTTACTGGGGAGAGAGGAAATCTATCATTTCATGATATTATCAGTGTTGTATAAGCTCCAACAACATTAATTCTCACTGTCTAGAAACAAAAGACATCACTGGGAATTACTTTTTGGATGTTCTTTTATAAAATTAATATCTAGCAATATGTAAATGGTTAAATCATACTCCATCCATGTGATGGAATGTTACACATTAATAAGAATTATGTTTGTATTTAGTCGTAAGAAAAAAGTATAGTGTAATGTTGAGATTTATTGTTGTAAATAAGAATCTTCAAGAAATTGTTACATATGAATCTTGAGTACTACAATAAAGATTTATGTTATTTTGCAACAATGTAATATTTAAATATTAAATTGCTAAGTATTTAATAATTGGTTATTTATTGAGGGGTGAGGAGGGGTAAATGCACATTATTAAGTAGCTGCTGTGAAATGAGCATTTGTTTTTGTTTGCAGTTCTTACTGGCTCTCACTTTGGAAATGACGTGAACTAGGATTGTAATCCTTCACTGAACTATTTCAGGGTCTTGATGAGATACAATACTCAGGAACTGGCCGAAATTATTTTTTCAGTCACACTGATTTCCCTCTTGTCACCATTTATGCAGGGCTCATTTAATCACAATTTTCTTTTTTTTTTTTTTTTTTTTGAGATGGAGTTTTTGCCTCTTTTGCCCAGGTTGGAGTGCAGTGGCAAAATCTTGACTCACTGCAACCTCCACCTCCCAGGTTTCAAGCAATTCCCCTGTCTCAGCCTCCCAAGTAGCTGGGATTACAGGCACCCACCACCATGCCTGGCTAATTTTTTCTATTTATTAGAGGGCCACCATGTTGGTCAGGCTGGTCTGGAACTCCTGACCTCAACTGATCCACCTGCCTCGGCCTCCCAAAGTGCTGGGATTACAGGCGTGAGCTACCATGCCTGGTCCATAATTTTCTTAATGACTGTAAAGTAGCCTATCTTCCCAATCATTTAAAAAAAAATTTCAGTGGAAATAGGTTTTTTTAAAAAAATATTTCTGATGATAGAATTAATATAAGCGTGAAATATTAGTAACTACGGAACCTATAAAGAAAATTAAAATGATCAATGGTCCCAATGTCCAGAAATAACAATTATTGATGTTTTAAGAACATATTTTCCCAAAATAGTTTTCTTTTCTTTTTTTTTTTTTTTTGAGACAGAGTTTCACTCTTGTTACCCAGACTGGAGTGCAATGGCGCGATCTCGGCTCACCGCAACCTCCGCCTCCTGGGTTCAGGCAATTCTCCTGCCTCAACCTCCTCAGTAGCTGGGATTACAGGCACGCGCCACCATGCCCAGCTAATGTTTTGTATTTTTAGTAGAGACAGTTTCACCACGTTGACCAGGATGGTCTCGATCTCTTGACCTCGTGATCCACCCGCCTCGGCCTCCCAGAGTGCTGGGATTACAGGCTTGAGCCACCGTGCCCGGCCTCCAAAATAGTTTTCTACAAGCCTGTGTGGGTTTTTTTGTTTTGTTTTGTTTTTTTTAAGATGGTGTTTCACTCTTGTTGCCCAGGCTGGAGTACAGTGCCGCTGTCTTAGCTCACTGCAACCTCTGCCTCCTGGGTTCAAGTGATTCTCCTGCCTCAGCCTCCCAAGTAGCTGGGATTACAGGCACCTGCCACCACATCCAACTAATTTTTTGTATTTTTAGTAGAAAAGGAGTTTTACTATGTTGGCCAGGCTGGTCTTGAACTCCTGACCTCAGGCAATCCACCTGCCTCGGCCTCCTAAAGTGCTGGGATTACAGGTATGAGCCACTGCACCCGGCCGGTGGTTTTATTTCTGAAAAATAGGATAATACTAATTGAAAATTTAAAATAAACTAAGACCTCTAGTTCTTAGTTTAAAAGAGGAATTCAGTGCTCTTGTGGATTATATAACTCCATGCATGTGTGGAGAAAAGTGACATCCCAGTGATCTACTCTTGGTTTACAAACTTCCCACATATTTACAGTTCTTCAGATTATGGAAATTTCAGTTGAGATTTAAATCTGATTTTAAAATTAATTTTAAAATTTCAGAATTGAAATTTTAAGATTTTTTTTTATCTGTTTAAGTCTGTTTTCCTTTAATGATCTAAAAAATCTAATCAAATTGTTTTATAAACTGTTTTTTTCTTTCAGTGTATCTTGAATATTTTCCTTAACTGTTTCTAAAATTTAGTGTTTAGATTACCTTAGTATTCCATTTTATGGATGTTTTGTAAAGTATTTAAGAAATCACTTATTGGGCAGGAATATTCAAAACTGCTCAAGCAGTTTCTTCAGGAGGGTTTCTGGCTCCTATGACTTGATCAGCTTTTCATTTCAGAGTCATGTGAATTTCAGAGATAGGCACATTTAAGAATGTGGCATTTACTTTTGCCAGGTGGGATGCAGGTATTTGAAGTATTTTTATTTCTGAAGGATTGATTTTTATTTAGAATATAAAATAGACAGCTGTGCTATTTTATTTTTTATTCAGGTTTTTTTTTTTTTTTTTTTTTTTTTTGAGATGAAGTCTCG